GTTATACGCAGATGGGTTTTGTTTATAGTATTTTACAAAATGTGAACTTGTCTATTTAATCTGTCTTATTAACAGCTACATACATTCACATCAGTGTAAATCTATCGATTCATCTGTAGTTACAGAAAAAGGATTAGCTTTTTTTAAAGCGTCGATTGAGGAAAGGAAATTCTTTGTTTAGAATCTATAAATATTTTTTTACTCGTAACTGCAATTCATTCACTGTTAGCATTGCTAAGTAGTAGGCAGTAAGCTTAGATTCAGAGATATGTTCATACTCAACTCAAATATATAATGGTAAATCTTCATTGTATTACTATATTCGGAAAAATGTTGTCAAATAATTTTTGTCAGAATGAGGATTTTTGGGGATTGTGAGTCCATCTAAACAAGACCAACATTAATGAACTGGAATCACTGAACGGCTGTTTCGTTCAATCGATGAAGGGTTGAGCAAGATCATGGGTCGACTGAAGTTAGACATTAACACCACTGCATCCTGGCCCAGTAGTTTGGAAGTTGAGCGGTCGCGCGTGAGACTGAAGGTCCTGGGTTCAAGTCAGAATATATATATATATATATATATATATATATATATATATATATATATATATATATATATATATATATATATATATATATATATATATATATATAATTAGTTGTATTTAAGAAGTAGAAATTTCTGATAACTTATCCCTTGGTGTAATGTTATTCATCGAATGCAGTTCATAAACTCACGTTTTCATTCGTAGTATGAATGTTCAGAAACTGGTACTGCCATCAAGCTTTAGAATTTCCACTAGTGTTCTCCACTTTTTATATCAATCCAAACTAGCATAACAAAACAGATGATGATTAGTCAGGAAAATTCGCAAAGCTATAATAAGGGTGTTAAAATTTCATACGGAAAACCAACTGATACGACTGATGCTAACTAGACAAAATATAACCAGGTTAGTTTGTAAGGTTTCTTTATTTTAAAAATACATACCTTTATATATACCATCAAGAGTTAACACAGTGTGGTGTTTATGTAAAAAAATAACTGTTTTGCTCATGCATAACTTCCGAATCCAAGTTCGAATGCACAACATCTAAGCAAGTACACTGTGAACCGCCAGAGAATGCACTAGATAACTCTGGGAATTCCTAGTTCTGATATTGAGTTTTGTACAAGCAATACTTAGATACATTTTAAGCACCCAGAAAAATGGTAATGCTAAACTTATGATGAGAAATTCCTCAAAATCTCGATAAAAGAAGACTTCAATTAATTTTTTTTCTGCGCGTCGGATGGGGATTTGGATACTGGAAAAAAATACCTAGACTACCCACCTCTTCATTTATTTATCGATTTGACTGCTTTAGTGGAGCAAGTTACACTGACAAGTGTTCTAAGAATCTTCACTTTCATACAAACGAACACCGACTGTGATCAAGCTAAAATTCAGTTAAAACTGTTAGCTGTTCTGTTCAAGCCCATTTCGTGTAAATAGGTCATAAAACCAATATGAATCAGTCATTTACACTGATAAATCGTAGCATCAGTTATCTGCTTAAATCTGTCAGACTCAAAGTCCTTCTAATGGCAGAAGAGATATCTGTTTGGATTCAAAGGTGTGAGTTTTATATTCAAAAGAAAGATGGCCAACCTCTTCTTTTTATCTTGGGGAACTTCAGGCCTAATAAGTTAGTAGTTATTTAAATTATAGATCACATAATTTCTCAATTACATATACAACATATCCACTTGTGTTTTCATAGTATTTACATATCTTTGTATCACTGTTTTCATTACCATTATTATTAGCGGGATAATGGTAAACATATCATAAATTTAATGAGTACCCGCTTTAGTTGACTATTTTATTTACTTAATTTATATAGTTATGTACATTATGTAATCTTCCATCAAACATTTATTTAGATTTATAATTAAATTATTATTTATCTAACCTAATGTTATTTATGGCTTAGCCCTTCTATCCCATATACACCAAGAAATGCAGATGAAGACAACTAGTGTAGCAGAAGCCTCTGTCTGTATCAGTATGCCTCAAAATTACACAATAAGAAAAACAAGATTCTCGAATACAATACAGAGAATACCAACGCAATGACACTTGATGATGGAAACTTTCACGTTCCTGAACAGCAACATATAGGAGGATCTGATGTAGACGTATAGGCGAGGATTGGAAAAGCAAGGACAGCATTCCTACAGTTAAACAACATATAAAACTCAAAACAACTTTCAAGCAATATCAAAGTGAGCATCTTCAATACGAACTTCAAGACACTAGATGGTGGTTGGAGGTAGTCAACAGGATGCCCTGGACCCAGGTTTCGTACTACTTGACACTTGTCAGCATACTAGTGTAAAGCAGTTATGGATAAATGTAGATGATAGCTAATTACTGTTAAAAACAAGTTCCTGTATACACTTTTTTGTGAATATTCACAAGCTAAACACATATGTAATTTGAATCTTTTATAGGAATTGGTATTTTGTGTTGAGAATTATTTACTGTAATTAAATTTACTTCACTGAATAAAGCGATCATTATTATCAATATAGTGAACAGAACATGGACGGGGACTACTGAATGTATTTGAGCACAAAATTACAGAGTATCTCAATAAAATCTGAGAACCATATAGTAAATCGTTAGTTTGCAAAATATCAATCAATTGTCTTAAACTTGACTGTTTCTGTTGCAAACACCAATCCATTATCTCAGATTTCATTGTCCATGTATTTTCATACCAATCGCGTTCCGTTCCCATTCTTTCCTCATCGATCTTCTACTGAAATACATTCTATGCCTGACCACCGTCATATACTACTTGTGTGGATATAAGTAACCCACACCACACTATTACTATGAAAATTCATTAACATTAGTTTGATTAGGTATGAAGTTTTGATCATTGAAGTCCTATGAACTTCTAATCTCGCCTATACATTTTATGAAATGATTATGCATTTATGATATATAGGAACAGAGCTGAATAAATTAGTTATGAAATTTACATTATTCTTCGGAAAATGATCATCAGCGTGTACTTCAAAGAGAAGAAAGAGGATTACCAACTGAAAGGTCAAAGTTTAGGTTAGAAAGAAAATAAACTTATAAGCAATGTTCACACAGTAATGGATAACAATCAACTAAATTTCAGGTCAATAGAACAAACTGTTATTCACTTGTGTAGCAATTCTAGTAGTTCACTTCTCATTAAAGTATGTACCAATGATATTGTTCTAGAGAACAATGACAGCTTCTCAACCAATCCATACGGCTCAGATACCATAATATCTCCAATATCCTCATCATGAGCTACGAATATTCCCCAGCTTCTTGAGAAAACGTGTTTCTTCTTTTTGAAGTCATATAAAAGTTGACTGATGTTACTTTAAATTTATTATCAATAACAGTACTAATTTTGTACGTTTGTCATACCTATTAAATTTTTGTACATTTACAAATACGGTAAAGTGGCTTTAAAACTCATATTTTTGTTAATACCATAGGGAATTTGCGGAAGGTGATCATCATTATACGTTCTATCGTAAGTGTAGCACTCATTGAACTCGTGATTTTTTTATTATTTTCTAGCCTACGAAGACACTGATTGCTAGATTAAACAGTTTCGATACATTCAGACTATCTGGTTAGGGTTGACTCGATTACTGTAACCATCGTTCAGAGACTTGAAGTGAGATTATTAAGAATCAGTCCAGATAGCTGAGCTATGCTCACTCTTTGTCTTCTTTTAGATCGCAAGTTTCAGAATTAGCTTATACATTTTATTCGATTAATGGATGACATTCAAATCATATTATTTGTGCCTGAACATTTTTACTACCACTCTTACTACTTTAACAAACTTTATATTTATCGTGATAATCTCACCTCTCTATTCGACGAGGACTTTCGTTCTCTTAGCTCAATGATCTAGTCTTTAAACTTTCATTGTTTCGCCATATATTTGAGGAAATTCAAATACCCCATTTCTTCCTGGAGTTTGTACTAATGACTTTTTGAGAAGAGTTCCATGATTTAATCAACATCAAGCACAGTAACCTTGAATTTGTAGATAGGCTTTACTAGAGAACGCCATCTGAAAAAAATCTAAATCTTCGACTTTATTTAATTATCCCCAAAAAACAAACGTGAATGAATGTGGACCGTCATTTCGAGTCAGTTATTCACAGTGTGAATTGATTGTTGAAGTTCATTCATCACTAATATTCTCTTGAAACTATGTGTCGTTTGACTCCCTTTAAACCAAAATAAAAATTGAAACGGGTATTGTATATTCTAATAAACCCGAACAACAAAGACATTGTAATAAAAACATTAAGGTTTTGTGATTATTAGAAGTATTTGAATTATTGTACGAACTATGAATTCTCGAAATAGCATAATTTAAACCAAGCAGAATTAGGTGAGCACAAATGAACCTATTGAATTTGGAATTCGAAATCAGGCAGTCATCAAGTATAAAGGAATCACTAGTTCATACAAATACCACAGGTTTATATGGGATCTACATAAGAAATTCCTAGCTTCTTGATTCCTCCACCAACGTTGATTAGTTAAAAATGGAACAATCAACGTTTTCCAATTCGAGCCTGACCAGACTATGTAATAGCCAGAACTGCATTTGGCTAATAACTAAATATTAAAACAATTAGTCCCTTTGATAAATTTCGATAATGATATTAGAAGACGAAGATTATCAGAACTATGTGATATATTAGCGCAATACATTTCGAACAATCTGGTCACACATATACTTGTTAAGAACATTTATATATAAAAAGTTTCCTGTCTAGTTACCTTTTATTTTATATATAAATGCTCTTAACTAAATATTAGTTACTAAGAATCGACCAATTAAACTGATAATAACTTTCGCATGCTAAATTAGACATACGGTAGCAACCAGTTTTGGCTAAATAAATATTAAACTCTACCAAAAATAACAGTGTTTGGTAAAGAATGTTTGTTTTCCGAAGGAAATTACAATAATACTTGTTTATGGTAATAACAGTGAAATTCTAGTCTCATATTCGTCTGATTATGGGGTAAAATACACAATCCGTATCCAAAGAAAATTCCTGTTCATTCTCTCTGCATATATATATATATATATAGTATCTAAGTGTACATCATGTTTTTTGAATGAAACAGACTCTTTTAGTTAGCCGGTATCCTCTTTCTTTTGTCAGTAACTCGGTTTTTTTTAATTAATCGTCTTCTGTCATACGATTTACATTAGTTCAAGCAATATACCACTTAATTGACACAATCCATACGATGTTTCTGTGGTATGATAAATACTATACTTGATACATTGTTTGCTAAACAAATTGTGTCAACTTTACATAAAACAACGTTGTTAGTTAAGATCTAAAAGCTTTGATTAGGATTTTAATATTGTGCATAAAACAAAAATATGTTTGAACAATTTATAAACTTCCACAGTATTTATGTATTTTCTTTCAAATAATAATAGAATAATACAACGTTAATGAAATGATGTATTACTTACTGTAACAGAGTAGTATGATAAATTACAGTCCATGTTGAAAAAATAAAATTCAAAATAATCAAACACTTTCCCACTGTTACTATTTATAAAATCAGGTTCTGTATTAGAGGAATTTTCATGTTATCTGGGATTGTTGTGACGTTTTGGTTATGTTTAAATTAACAATAAGACGATTATTATCAACATAAAAATTAATTGATTCAGGATCAGGAATACAATCAGAAGCCTCATATTCTTTATAATATGTTCGTTGGACAAGATGTTTGGAATCAGATTTATTAGAGTTATGTTTCACTATTGAATAATCAAGGTTAGTAATTGTTATGCATACTGAACGCTGTACAACAGTGACCTTTATATTCTCTTCCTTGAAATTTTTATCTAAGGGGATCACGAAAATGAGTTTATTCCCTTCGCGTATAGTTTTATGTCGATCAAGATGTTGTATTTGTAATTTTTCACCATTATCCAGTTCGATATCAGGCTCATTTGGAATAGAACTTTTGCATTCCTGTAATGTTGTACTATCACATTCTTTACTTTGTTTTGGTTTGCTTAAATCAAAAGACATATATGGAATATCAATTAGAAGGAGACCATTTCGTAATAACATGATTTTAGAGTTTTCAGCCATCACATTTTGAGGCACAGTAAGCTTATTTTGAACTTCACGACAGATTATTTCATCTGTTTTGCTTGTTTCGGTTTTTGCATTTATTATTATTTCTCTTTTAGAAGTCAGATATGCACTAAGTGAGTCGCGCTTAATTCCTTTCGCATTCAAAAAAATTTTAAGGAAGCAATGACAACCGGGAGTATTTACAGTGAAAATAGTACATACGTGTTCCAATATATTAGATATTTGTTCCATTGGTGATTAAGAGATTTTATAGAAGAGGGTGGAATGCATTTGATCATGATCTTAGGAACTAATGTTTATAATGATTAATATATTCGTGTAGAGTTTTAGGCCTAGGGCTTTGAACATGGACGAAAATTGAAGTTATTTGTTTGGCAAATGATCAAGGGTTACTAACGTAAATAAAGCTAGGATGATTATTATTGGTTACTTGTAATCTACCAATAAGCAGTTGAAACTCTCGGGATCAAAATTCACCATTTAGGCTATTATTCATCTCGAAAAGCTGTGGTACCATACTCAAAGAAGTAGATTCAGATAATTTAACTTGTATAAATACTCTTTACATCCTAAGAGGTTCTTAATTTTCAAACTTCCAATATATTCAAGCTATCAGAAACACTAAAATGGGATATGTGATAGAACCAAACCGAATATTTCTCAAATAACAATTAGTTGCACATAATACTGAAGTAACAGCACAGTATTTCGTCAATGTTGTGTATTTGTTTAAATCTGTAAACGCGAATCGCTCATAAAACGCGGTACTTGTGGTTTTGTTCCTTGTTTTATGAATAGTTCAATTACGGAGGTAAACATGAGCGTCCCGAGCCGTGCGACTAACTCAAACAATACGATTTTATCTGAGGAACGGACATGTCACAGAAGTCAAATGACATCATCAGATGCTGTTGGACGTTCAATGGCACTTTTACCCATAAATCATAATCATGCTCTACATCATGGAATAAAATTAATGCCTCACATAAACATGACTCACAGAGAAGTAGGAGCAACAACACCTTTGGTTAATAACTCCGGCACAGCTAGTACGTGCTCGATGTCCTTACCAGGTTCGATGTCATCAGCATCGGACACTGTTTGTAATATTCTTCCACATAACACTTCAGATGGCAGCTCAATAGACCTCGCTAGTCTTTTCGAATGCCCGGTTTGCATGGATTATGCTCTACCACCTATTATGCAATGTCAAAGTGGACATATCGTTTGCGCATCGTGCCGGTCAAAACTCTCATCATGCCCAACTTGTAGAGGCAACTTAGGTAAGCTTGATACATCATTTCGGTATATAACTTTTAATGTTCCCAGTAGTAAGGGTGCTACTGATACAGTTCACAATTTTCCACACGTTTAGGTTGTGTTATGCACAGACGATAATATTTTTGACATGAAACGTCTCGTCTTGCACTTATCGACCACCCAAATGTTAATATCTCCTATTAGTTATTCACCTTTTTTGCTCTTATCACACCTGAAGATTTGTGGCACAGAAAGCCTATGGTATATGCTGTTTTGAGCTATCTAATATTCTATTAACGATACAGTGCATAAATTTTCCCATGCGTAGTAACATCCAGGTCATCATTAATTTAGTCTTAAGTTGACCCTTTATCGTCAGCATAGTGACTTCTCTATCACTCTGCCAAGAAAACAATGTTATTGTACTAAGTGTCACTTACTGCTTCAGTAATTAACATTTGATATCAAATTTAAGTAGTTATCTTACTCATTTTCGGTCTCAATGACACATTGTAAAAGTGTTTATTTTGCCAAAATAGTGCGTTAGACTGTCATAACTTATTTTCTGTCACACCAGTCAATCGCATGTCGCAGCTAATAACTAGGATTTTTATTATAGGTTTGGATAGGATATTGATTCCTTACCTCAACCTTTCTGAGTTCTGTCTTGTTCGGGAGTCATTTGATTGACTCCTAGTACGTGAATATAATAACCCTGTATCGCGACAACAAATATAAAGCAAGATCACATAATTGCACCAAGGAGAGGCTTGGTAATGTTCAATATTCCCTACACATCCAACTTCAATCAGGTATCACTTAAAGAAAAGTCTGATATTTATTTTAAAAAGGGTAATTAAGTGATTAAGGTTGTAAACCAGTTTTCTTATATATATGGTTGTATTAGCTCTCTCGAATCGGTTGTTTACGTAATTACGACAAAAACAGTGTTTGTATAAGGTCTGTCAACTTTTGATGCTGACTAGATGCATTGTCGATTTTTGCAGAGTGTACCTACTTCACACTGTAATAAGCAGCTTAGTCGGTGCAAAACAAGACTTAAGTGTACATTCTTAGATGTAATTTAAAGCTTGTTATATCTAGGTAGGTTCCAGTTGACACTTCGCATTTGTTTCGACAGTAGCAGTCAAGTGAACGAAAAGCAATGAGATTAAGCCGAAAATGTGGTTGATGGTAATCGGCAACAATGTATCAGAAAATGAATATATAATCAATAATCAATAACACAGAACAAGCTGTGAAACACATATGGAGAAATTCGAACACTTCATTTCTATCTGAAGTTTGTGCTGATGATGTCGTTTAGAAGAACGATGAAAGCCCCACGGCCAAACCATCCAGCTCAGAGAACAAAACACCACCACGAGAAGACTAAGAGTATATACAAGTTTGTACTAATGCGAATCATTTTGGTCTCTTACCACCCATCATATGGTCAGACTATTTGTTACATTTATTTCGTGACTTTTCAAAGACTACCTAAAGCTGTCTATACTACTTAAACCATCATTTAATAATTTCATGAACTGAAACCGTCTTGCTGTCTGTCCACTTTTTTATGTTCGAATGTTATTGAACAGTCACGGCCGGTTTAGTGTACCAGTCACTTTAGTCAGTGGAGATTCATACTCTCGCCTGCTGATCCACGTATATTCTGGACTGTGTCTAGCATCGGTGCCTGTAACATCACTTTTACTTTTGTTGGCTGTTTGATGTACGTAACGTAGTGCAGAACTAACTGGTGCGCAACATACTTCCTTTTATAGTCATTCGCATTTCTTCTGTATCTTAAGTAGGACATAGGACAATGACTTAATAGTTGTATTTATTTATTTATTTATTTATTTAAACACACAAACATTGTTACAAGGAGGTACCAAACAGATATGTGTCACACGAATGATTCGATTGGTGTGATGGATGAAATATTTCCTGGGCTCCCAAACTGAAGCAGGTGGTTTTCTTAGGAGGCCTTTGACCTAGAGGTCCAGTCCACAAGGCAATGGAACAACGTTAGGAGATGCAGTCCCATGGTAGCCGATGACCAACAACAGGTTCATACGCCATTTGTTCCTTCAATATAATGGAGCCCTTGTACACGATTGGTTTGAAACCAGGGTTTTTCAACTCCCCTAGGTGGATCTTCCGTGTCTACCAACAAGGTTAAAGCGCCGGGCATTCGCTTTTCATCCTCCCAATTTCGTAAACAACACCTGCTCTGTGGCTATACACTTGAGGCCATGCGAGAGCATTTCGAAAGAGAGAGTGGACCCTCCCCACTCTCGACCATACCAGGGCATTTGGGGGCTAATAGTTATAACATTTAGTTTTCAGCCACTACTTTACAGGTTCAAGTTCATCTTGGCCTAATTTTATTTGGGCAACCAGATAGTATCACTAATCACAAATATTTCGAGTCAAATTCGAATACGTTACGTTGGGTTGGAAGAGAATCAGGGGCGGTCAAACCAAAACGTGGCATCAGTGCTTGAAGACACTAACTTCTAGTCTGAGCCATGTTGGTAGGTTCAGACTACTTGGTTGAGGTCCGCGTGACTGTCGTAACCAAAGGTTGGAGACTCTTGGTGACATGGCTCTGAATCGATCACAATGGCGTAGGTGTATGCACTGTCTGTCTTCCCTTAAACTAAGAGATTAAAATCACTTCATATCTTTCTTTCTACGAACCAATTTTTTCTTCTTGTACTATATCTCTATATGCAATCTTTCTCCTATATATTACCACCTTTGACCTAACCACTCCTATGAATCCGGTGTTCATCTTGCTGTGCTAATGCGGTATGGCAACTTGGACCCATGCATATATGTGCCTGGTCCTACGTTGTAGCTGACTGACTGACGTTACCCTCTAGTTAGTAAATAAGTTTGCATAATTTGCAAAATGAAAGTAGGAACTTAACCCCGGTTATATTTTGTCAGACTCAATAAGATTTACAATGTGCGAAATCGTTTATCGGCATAACTTAACCACTCATAGTCAACATTAGCAATTACGGAAGCTGTCCTAAAGTAACTATGTAATGGGAAATTTAAATATGGTATTTTTTGTCTAAAATTTTGTTGTAATCTGTCTCTTGATCGATTTTCAACGATTGTGCTTTCTTTGCTAGTATACAACAATGATACTGTTTCGTACTAATCATTTTGAGTCCCTCCTGTGGATTCGATGTCCTAATTCTTTCTTAATTAATGTGCATATTGACTCGATTCAACTTCCAAAGTCACTCATAAGATACCTCGTCTCACTTTTCTTTCTAAGATAATATCCGGAACCTCGCAATGGAAAAACTTGCTTCCAGTGTATTATTTCCTTGCAAGTACTCTACTAGTGGTTGCCCAGAAACTTTTCATTATACATCCAAATCAGAACATGAAGCAGCTTGCGAGTATAGGTAAGTTTTTTATTTCTTGACCGCTTTTAAAGATCCATCCCTAGTTTCAAATCTCCCGTCAATGGTTGTCTTAATTTCTATCGTATTCACTAACTCATTTTCGTTTTGCAGTCTCTTCGATATTTCATGAAAATATATAACTATGAGCCCATTATGATATCCAGACACTGAACTTTAAGCAGCTGCCATATGTATTACGTATGCCTAACCACCACCTACCCCAACAAGTCGTGCTTGCTACTGCACAATTAGGTTGGAAGAAAGCTAGATTCGGTCGAACTAATAATGCTAATTAATGAAGTCATCGATTGTTGGCATGAGCCATGCATATAGACGCAGGCTAACTAGTTGAATTTGGCGTGATGACTGTAATCGGTGGTTGAAGACGTTCACAGTGGCGGTGATGCATCCACTCTTCAGCTTGAATTCCAGTATTCCTTCATACTTAACTTTTCATCATCCTTCGAAACCATGTCCCCAAATTTTATTTTTTCTTTTTACAATTGCTGCTGCGTTGTTCCGATCTCTTTTTTTATTCATATCTTGTGTTAGTGTGATATAGCCCTATGCTGATGATGTTTGTTTTTGTCTAAAGAATTAATAGAATGATGGGGACTTTTTTCAATTTAATCTGAGGACAGTAAAAAGATATGTTTGTAATAACCCACTGTAATGCTCTATACTGCAAACAGATGGATTAAAAGAGCCATCAACAATAGCGAATAATAGTCTGGATTCAAAATTATTTGTTTGGCCCATTTAGGAGAATTTTTGTATCATCAAGTTAAATTTGTCTGAAGTATGTTATTGTATTCAGTTTTATTTGCTTTTGACTCCCCATCAGTCTGTCTAGTATCCG